GCTCATAAATGTGTATAATAAAAGTAAATACGATGTTTAAAAAAAAAATAAAAATGTAATACTAAGAGGAAAGTAATAATGACTAAAGCTTTTAATTATAATAAGGTAAATAGTTAATAATTTGAGATTAAAAAAAAAAAAACTAAAAACTAATTAAAAACCTGAAATACCTACAAACTAATTTAAATATAATATTTTTTAATAATTATCTTATTTTTTTTTCAGTTACTTTGGGCATCAATGGATCATAATATTATGATATTCATTTAATGTTTGATATTATTCAACTTTTAAAAATAAATTTTACAAACAGTATCCTAGTTATTTGATTAATATAGGTACATAATACAATATTTACAAAGACTATTAGGAAGTAATTTTACACCAATCCACATACCTACGTTTGTGATTTGTGACCACTAAAATTATTTGTGAACTGAAAACTATTTTTGAAGTACCTGACACAAACAAATTACTATAAATTGTGTTTATTATTTTTATATTATGATTTCATACTACTACGCTACGGCAATTACTTGCGATAGCACACATTTTAAATTTATTAATTTAAAATTTCTCGTAAAGCTGGTAGGTAATTGAAAAACCAGTTTTTAATTAAGTAAATCAAATTATGAGATTAAGATCCTAGCGAAAGATAAAAATAAATAATAATTATAATAAAATACATAGTGTAAAATTGTATTGTTATCACGAATCATCATATTATTAGTATTGTGTTGCTTTTGACATGGAAATATTTTACTAGAATTTTCACATGATCTCCATTTGAATATTATGCTAAAACATTTATTAATTTCATGGAAAACATAAAATATTTTATGAGTAAGAGTAAAAAATATGCACACGTCTTATTAAATGTGAATAATAATAAAGATTGTTCGTTGTAAAGTGGTAATATGGGTAATTTATACGACTATTACTCTGTTATTGGACAAAGGTGTATTGTAGGTATTACGCAAGTACAATATAATATGGTTGAGGTTAATATGATAATTATTATTAATATTACGAAAAGTATGTGTGCGCATATTGTGCATTACCTATATATTGTACAAAATTAACAACTGTAATCTTGCGACTATGTCATTCATCATTCATTGTATATCGTATTTACCGTACCTTTGGTGTACCTATATAATTATGTGCATTTACGACTTACCTATATGGAACAATGGTTATGTATAGGTATGCCTATGTCCATAGTAATAATAGCGATAAATAAAAATATAATAGTAGAAGCGTGCAAAATCCAAACAAATCCTTTAAATGGGATACAGTTTTTCAAATTATTATTATTATTTATAAACCCACATAATATAGGTAATCATTGTTTTAATTGACAGAAAATGATCAGTTACTATTTGGCAGTACAAATGTACAGTTTATAATAATAATTGTTATACCTACCGTACTATACGTCATAGCAATGTTGCTATCAACAAATTTTAATAATTGCAATAATTTTCTAATTAAATTTTATGAACATTCAAATATTATATTCCTCTCTGTTATTTTCTGCGGTTTCTGCATACTCTCGTGAATTCCCTTTTATCTCACTATCTATAATATTATTCTCTTCCCGATTTATTATATCCAATCATAATTTATTTCCTGTCGGGTGGTTTCTAGTCCAACCTGGCAACCTCAAGAACAATAATATAATATTATAATATTGTAATTTTAGAATAAATTGTTTTGTATAACACTCTTATGTAACTTGTACAAACGTATCATCGTTATTCAATTAATAAAAATCAATTGTCAATTGGGTGACATATTTAAAATCCTTCATTGTCCAACGTATATTAATTCATCAAAGTATAATAATTATTTACGTAGTATATATACCATATACGTTTAGCATTCCATTCGAAGTTTAAAATTTTGTATAGTTTATAATTAAAAATTTAAAACCAAGCTCAGCTGTTTGGAATTAATTCTGGAACCTATATAGGTACCTCCTCCTAATTGAACCTAACCTAACCTCCTAATTGATTGCTTGTCGTTAATAAACCAGGATTTTTTCAAGGGAGGTCCAAGAAGTAAAATTCTATTATATTATCGTAAGATAAAAAAAAATGTATATACGTCATAATATTATAGTACAAAAACAATTCTGAGGTTCCAATTTAAGATAGTTACTACCGACCATTACTAAATAGAAATAACCACATGTCTACAGTGTACTATGTACTATGTCAACTATTACTATTATATCATAATAGGTATTGTACAATGAGTAAATAAATAAAAAAATTTAATAGAAATAAAAATGTTTGATTTATTTCATATCCGCGCGACTCTCACCAACAGTAAGGTTGGGGTGTCCGGAATCCGGTTGATATTTTTTGGCCCTCTTGAAATGCTTCCAAATCTAGGTAAGTGACATTTTAGATTCTGAGTGAAACGATGAATGTATTGATTTTACAATGATGTGTGTTTTTTTTTTTATATTTGTGTCTGTGTACACGATAAGTAGTCGAAATAATGCTTCGATTTTCGACTTCAGTATCTTGTTCGATTGGAAAGTGAATATCGTTGGTGCATTGGGGAGGTCAAAATTTAAAATTCCCTATAGTTTTCACAAGCGCCGGGAAAAACAACATAAAAATTAAGGAAAAACGGGAATTTTTACGCAAAATCGGTTTTTGACAAAATCGAATTTGGTTTTTGGTGTAACTTTAAAACAAATGACCATAAATACATTAAATTTTCACTGGTTGTTTATATTTGCATTTTCTATACACGATAACATTTTCAAAATATTTTGATTTATTTTGAACTGTTTAGGGACATTTTCATTTTTCATTTTTTTTTAGTTTTTTTTCTAGAAATATCAATACAATTTTATTTGTTGGTTAAAAAACTTGAAAATTTAATAGAAGACTCCTGTATATTGTTTCAAAGGCAGATGAAAAATATTAAAAATCGTTAGTCACAGTTTTTTTTTATAAGCATTTAAAGTTCAAAAATTGACAAAATATGGAAAAATCACGAAAATTAGCAAATTATTTTGAGTTAAGAATTCAAAAAACTTTTTCTTTTTAAATCTAAGATTTGAAAATGTAATACAAGATTACTCATAAGTTTGTCTACTTTTATCAATAAAAAAATCTCTACCGGACAATCAAATTAAATTTTTATGAGCGTTTGAAATTCAAATTTTTACAACATTGGATGTTCACTCGATTTCTCATGTAGCGATTTCCTTATTTTGTTGTTATTCATAAACGAATAACTATAGATACATGGAAATTTCACTGAATGTTTATATTAGCATTTCCTATACACCATACAATTTTGAAAATATTTTGACTCTTTTTGAGCTATTACGGACATTTTCATTTTTCAATTTTTTTATTTTTTTTTTCTATGAATATCAATTAAGTTTTATCTGTTGGGCCAAAAAGTGTAAAAATGTAATACAAGACTACCTGATATATTGTTACAACATCAGTTGAAAAATATTAAAAATACATAGGCACAATTTTTTTTTATAAGCATTTAAACATCGAATTTTGACAGAATTTTTCAAAATCTACAAAATGATTAATCATCGTAATTAATAAATTATAAAGTTTTTATAGCTAAGGATTGAAAATTTAAAATAAGATTCCACGTAAGTAGTTAATTCTCTTACCAAAAAATCTAAAAAATATACAATCACAGTTAATTTTTATAGTCATTTTATGTTCAAATTTGGACGAAATTACATATTAAAAAACCTAGTTATTTTGTTGTGATTATATAAAATTATTCGTGGGTACCTACTAGAAACTTCTAAAGTGTACTATTATATATCAATGATAGTATCAGGGTTTGTTAATGATGTTGATGTATAACGTGTTATAAGTACCTAATGGATATTGTGATAATGTGATATGATTAATTTGGAATTTATTATAGGTCAATTTTTTTTTAATACCATAGATATGTATATAATATGTCTTATACCTAGACTGACATACCGTCTTCGCTCAGAATCGTTTTTCTTATACAATGATATTATATCATTGAATTCAAATTTAATACCATCCATTATACAGTGACCCACTTGTAACCTACAGTACAGCAGAGCGACATCCACTTACCCACCTTTTTTTACCTGAATTTCCTCCGGGAATTTCGGAGGCAATTCAAGTACCTACACATTTCAATCCATAGCTTAGGACGGATTAGGCCAGCCAATGTCCTGTAACACTAGTTCAGACACTGGAGTCCATCAGTCATTTCGGATAATATGGTTTGTATAAATACTTTTTTACAAATGTAGTTCTAAATAAGCACAAAGTTAAAAACAATATTACAACAATGGATTTGTATTATAATAAACGACCATTGTACATTGACAATACCTTAATTTAATATTTCCCAATTACAAACCATTGTTATGTTATATTATATTATTCATTAATGACTTAATGTGCATTGTGCACTGCACAGTTGTAGTATTAATAAGTAAGTTTAATTAATCACACAGTAAATATACCTACAACTTGCACGTTGAAACTATTGGTTACTATGTAGTGAGTATTAGAATAACTTTTTAAAGAAGACAATTCCATAAAAACTTTAAAGCTAATAACATTATCGTTATGTAATCATCATAATATAATGAAATCATATAATTTTCAATACAATTACCTATATACATAGCTTTTACGAGTTGATTTTTCATATTACATTTACTAACACTAACGTACAACCTATATATTATTATACTTTACATTGTTTGGCAAACTTATGCACATTATTCTGCAGTTATATTTATATCATTTTAAACGTAATGCAATTGTAAGGACTTGGACATTTTTTTCTCGTGTCGTCTTTCTCAGACCCAAAAGTCACACTTCGGTCAATAATAATAAAAATTATACTTAAAAACGTCGTTTATTTTCAATTAAAAAAAAAAAAGTCATATTAAATATAATACAATAAGAATATTTACACAAGCCTAACTAAACGGATGTCCTTGACACTCAAGAGTCCGATCCGAACGAAAAGTCGTGAGCCACGGGCGACCGGGACTCGGGAAGCGCGTACTGTTCGGCCAGCTGGTCGAGAACGCCACTGGTGCGCATCTGTCTGGGCGCCGTGCGGTAGTTGGTGGACAGCTGAGCGGCTGCGGGCCTGGTGCGCTTGGCCGCGGGTTTGGCGACCGGTTGGTAAAACGTCGGTGGTTCCGTCATCGGTTCTTGGTGTTCCTCGAACGTCTGGTACGAGTTATCGACGGAGGAGGAGGCGTGGGCCGCACGTCCGTTTCCGGTCGGCCGCCTACCGCCAAAGTTCTGGACGGACTCGAACGACCCGGACGGACCCGAGACCGATGGCTCCTCTACCGGAACGGCCCTGAACGAACCGGACACCGGCGGAGCGGGCTTGTTCGGACGTGGCGCCGGCCGGTGAGACGGGGCTGGCTGTTGCGGTCGGCTCACTGGTTGCGCCGTCCACTCACCGTCGTCAAAATCGGAAGCGACCGATATCGGCTTCATTTGTGGTTGTTGTGGCCGCACGAACCCGGCGTTCGATTCAGGCCTGTTGTTGTTGTTGTTGTTGTTCCGGAACAGCGGTTTCGTGGGTTTCGCGGGCGACGGTCTCTTGGCCGGCACCGGTGCAGCTGGTTCCTCGTCATCTTCGTCCTCTTCCGGTCGCAACTCCACCAGCGTGGGTGACGGTACGGTTATGCCCTCGCCCGACGGCTGGAACCCGTACTTGTTGGCACCGTACTCGACGACGCGCAACTTGCCCGAGTCGTCCACGTAACCGTACTTGCCGTTCACCTCGCCCGTCACCGTCTTGGTTTCGATCTTGAACGATCCGTCTGATCCTTCGTACCCGTAAGTGTACGATCCGTCTTCATTGTGTCTGCCAAGCATAAGAAACAAAATTATTGGTTGTTGATCGGTTTCTAAGGAATATTACGCTTTACATTCTAAATTTTAGATTTGGGTCGAGAATTTTTGCGTTTTGTCCACCACTGTACAAGGATTGGGAGGACTTCTTACCGGTCTTAATACTTGGGTGTATTATCATTTATCATGACTTAGGGTCGATGTAGGAATTGAAGCCCCCTGTTCGCGCTTGAACCAAAAACAAATACCACTCTAGGTTTTTTTCTATTTAATAGATTTCTATTTCTTTGGGGGAGAGGTGGCGTGCGTGACTAGTGTCCTACATACCTACTTTGAGTACCTACTATAATACATAAATACATAATAATAATTTAGTCTGAAGAGTAAATCTCTCGGCGATCGTACAGTTGGACAGAAAAACACATGATATAATAATTATTAATTATTATTGTATTATCATCATCATAATATTAGTAGTATTGTTATTGCGTGTTTTGCAGCAATATTTGCGTGCGAGGTGAAATTTTGTATATCTACCTACGACCGCCGCCGCTCGTCCCATAACTTTTACATAAAAATCGCATTGTTCTGGAATTCCCAGCTGTGTTATGATTTCCGTACAGGAAACATTTTAAAACGTTTCGTGTGCGGACGTGTGAGATTCGTTTTCGGTGTTGCGTCTTTTCGCGAGCGTCGAGTGTGTATATATCATACACTAATATATTACTCTATGGTAGATATATATATATATATATATATATAGACAGTGACGGTTTTGAAAGGATAATATCCATAGGTCATTACTCTTATTTAGATCACAAGACTTGACGTAGTCGTTTTTAACGATCGTATTGACGGAACATCGGATGAAAATTAAAAATTAGTCACCAGCGATTTCAGATATAAATAGGTATAACATGATACATTGTACTTTCGTATAAACATTAACAAAATAATAATATTATTTTATCGTCCTGTAGGCTGTAAGCAGGACGCGTTGTATTTAACAATAATAATACGATCGTAAATCTCAAGAAGAAAAATGTATTTATGCAATAATAATATTATTTTCTTTACGATACAACGAGCACGATGAATAAACAGATTATTATTACGGCGCATTTAACCTCGGTTATAAACGTCAAGGAATGATGACAGTATTATTATAATGATAAAGAGCAAAAATATTTGGTTTTCGGTGATTTGATTTGTTTGCTCTTATTGTTGTGTGCTCTGTGAATTCGACTCTTCAAAACCGCCTAGACAGAACACTATACTACGGACATTAACCATTTCACGAACTCGTGTAAAATGTTTTTTTAATTATTGGTACCGTATCAGCCGATTAAACACGATACAGATATTCGTAATAATATCGTATAATATTAAAATGTAATTAAATATTAAAATATATAGAGGATCATAGTGTTATAAGGATAATAGATTAACAATCTAGACTCGATAATATTACACAATATTTCAGAGTATCTTATATTCGTGTCGCACAATGGATATAATTAGTATCTATTGTGCCTAATAGTATTATTATATTTTTTCACATTGAAAGATTAACTTTGTTTAATACATATAATATTGTAGTAAACTGAAAATGTTGTGGTATATTCTGAATATGAATAACTGGATCACATAATATTTAGTAATTTAGATTTTGATAAAACGTAACTGCCTAAAGTGTTTGAGTTATGTGATACAATATAAATTATGAGGATTAATTCATCTAAAATATTTCTAAAAACTTAACCTCAATGACCCAAAAAAAAGCTGAGATCTGAACATTTATCCGTTATTAGAGTACTAATGGTGATTTTTTTGAAAATAAAAAAAACCTATTTCGTGGTAAAGGTGCACTTTAATAAGCAACGATGTTGTCATCTTATTTACTTATCCAAAAATAAACTAGTCCTGAATCATTGCCTTAAACTAAGACTCACGATTTCCGCTCCGTTTAGAAAAAACTAAACTGAGTTAAACTAATTATTATGTAATAAATAAGTAAGCAAATTATTTTGTATAATGAACGTCCAATATAATATAAATGTTAATTCTTACATATATGTTTAAAATAGTTATTAGAGACTGTTTAAAGTGAAATAAATAATGATGTATGCAAATAGTAGGTAGGTAGTAATAAGTTATCACCTTGTAGAGTTATAAAAGTTGTACTGGACCATTAAATTAAATACAAGGTTAAAAATTATATGTATTCATTTATGTAATCCATCGACAGCACACTAAAGATTTTTAAACCTTTTACTTTATTATAAATAATATAAACTACTTATTATTTTTGTAGAAATTATTATGAAAAACACGAATATCTATTAAAACGCCTTCGTTTACTATCAATGCAGACATAGCCGACATAATGTATAGTAGATAGTTAGTTAAATGCAATATTATAATTTTAAGCCGAGTATTAAAATAGTATTATTTTGCATTTTTAAATATTTACAAATGTAGTCAATTATTTTATCATACTGAAAAAGATTCAGTCTATTCGATATCTCGTTTTCTAAAAATACACAGTTTTTAACAATTAAAACTCGGCTCATTTACACCGGATAAAAACTATTATGATTATGTATACAATTGTTTTATACCTCACGAACGAGTAAAATATATTGTGTATAAAAAAAATGTGATTGTTGAAAGAGAAAAACGTTAAATAATTATAATTTGTCTTTTTTCACACCAGATGAAAAAATACGTAAGCTACGCGGGAAACGAGTTCCTATATATAGTGTATTATTACCTACATAATAAACTGAGTGTGTTAATTCCAAATAATATTATTTTCATTGATATATAATATAATACTATTACACAATAGTTAAAAATAATTACGTTTTACTTTTGAGTATTTCTCCACAGGTACTATTAATTTTAAAGAACTTCAACGCTCTGGCATACGTTAATTTAAATATATTATATTTAAATAATATTATTATGTCAAGAACACGCGATTACCTGTGGATTTGTTTGAGTATAGATACATCAGCTTGACTTTTACGCGCCGACACTACCGCCGATTGGTCGTTACCCTCGTTGTAGTCTTCGGCATTTTGACCGTAGCACGTACACAAGCCCAACAGCACAATAATCTGCAAGTCGAACGAGAAAAATTTGTGTTAAAAAAAAAAAAAAAAACTATATTATAGCAAGTGCGCGTTAATTATTTCCGATACACAAAAGGATGCGCCGGCTCATCTATATTATATTATAATAATATTATTATTATCATAATACGCGGCTGCTGCAGTCGGTGACAGGCGCCAGGTCGGACCTCCCGCGCGCGTGCACACACCTGTTGATTAATTTCACAATTGTCTGATCGTGAGAATCGGACGATGGCGAGGTCACACACCGCTGGGATTTTCAAAACAATGACTACCGAGGTGGATAACCCACGACCAGGGCCTTAGGACGCTTTTTGTCAAATGCGACGCGTGTCGGAAACATAGGTATAATATAATACAGAAACCGCAAACTATAGCAGCGATGACTCTTCCGATAGTGTTTTCAGTAGCGCTCTCGATAATATCAGATAAATATTATTCGATACTATAGATTTTTGTCTCGCGATTTCGATTTGAATCACTATGGGTGTTGCCTTTTCTTTTTTCCGAAACAAATTCATAGTAGGTACATACACGAGATAAAATATATTATATAAGCGTGAGCTGGAATATTAGTAAAACCGTTTCGTGCACCAACCTTAGATCATATTATATACTATGGATGTAGCTACAGCGTATGATTTTGTTGCCGATATATCGACGAGTCACCGAATTAGGTGACCGATGTGCGCAAGCCCGATACAACTCCTCGCATAATTATCCATAGAAACAATAGATATCTGCAGTGAATAAATATGCGAGTAGTCGCGTTGCACATGAGCATATCAAACACCTAATTCGGCGACTTGTCGCTGATGTCGGCAACGTCAATACAAAAAAAAATGATGTAATAAGTTGTGGCTCCATCCATGGTATATGATCTAAGGCATCAACACGCGGCGCAGGAGCGTATATGGAAAAATAATAACTTTAATAATATTAATGGGATTAGATGTTTATTCTTAGTACCGAAAAGAATAAAGGAAACCAGTAGCTGCTATGATTTGCGGTTACCACCTAAGGTTCCTATATTTTATTATTACTAAATGTAGATAATATAACAATTTTAAAAATAAAATCAATACATTTAGATATAAGTTATATGTTATGTATAAATATATGTTACTCGGTACTTGCAAATAATAAGTTGGCATATTGTACTTACCACTGATCTGACTAGCATCATGGTTCTGGTTGTTCTCTGACAATAAACTGACGAATAAATATAGTATCAACACTTAAAAGGTCTTAAAAACGCGGAGCCCCTCCACGGGCACGAAAGGGTGACGCCAAGGCCGACGACCAACGTCGTCGTATTATGTGGTGGTTTTTTTTTTATTTTCGCCTTTCACCGGTGCAACCCCCCAACCAAACGAGTTGTTTTCGTCTCCTCCGGGAACGACTTAATACCTATACGACTGTTTAATGAAAAAATAATTTGACAACATTATCATAATATGATTGCCGTTCAAAATCCGTCGATTAAAAAAAAAAACATTTACATGGCATGCTTGACGTCTCCGACCGTTTATAATGATGATGATGATAATAATATAATAATAATAATAATAATAATAATAATTTTATAATATGCCATATGAAGTTTTGGATCGTTCGAGGCGAATGTCAAGGATGGGTGTTGTCCGCGCTTTCGTTTCAAGGCCGAAACACGCCCTGGGGAAATGGCATTCGGTACATGTGGTTAGAGATAATTTTTTTTCGCATATTTTATCATATTGGTATTTTCAATTCGCCGAACAAGGTTTACCAAGGCAAACGACAAAACCGATCGAAAATCGACTACGCCTTTACAGCGTCAGTTCCTGGTCGGCCAGCTCATTACGATCGTCTGATCAGGATTGCGGGAGCGTGTTAAGTCGGGTATACACCACTGCAGAGTACGTAGAGTACGAACTACTTTATTTAAAAAAAAAATTAATATTATTCGACTAGTTGGTAAGACGCATATTGCCGACATTTCGTTTGTGTCTACGTGTCAAGACATCGTCGTATACCACTGAACACACCACGGTGCAGTGTAGCACGGGCTCGGGTTTATAATCATTTTTATTGTTGCGTAACATTATGCACGTGCCGATGTCACCATTTGGCAATAATAGTAGTAGGTATAGTACATGATATGCAGCTGCGGATATACCGCGGTTTAGGTGGATGGGTTACCATAATGATATGCGAACGATAAAACGATCGACATACCGTAAATATATATGACGAGCAAATAAGGCAACAAAGATTTTTTATTGATTTATATAAAAAAAACTTATAATAATAATAAAGTGAAAAAAAATCGTACAAAAAATAATAATAATAATATAAGTACAATATTATGATACTATCTATTCGACGTCATCGCGACGATCGACGGTGACCGAGCGGTCACTTTCCCGTGTACGAGATGGAGAACGATCCGGATGCGGGATCGAAGTTGTGCACGGACGGATGGGCCTGGAACTGGTCGGGGTCGGATCGGGTCTTCTGCTGCGGGCCAGCGGAGAACCACTGCTGCTGTCTGGCCGCGACGGGCGCCTGCTGCTGCAGGGATCGCAGTTGCTGTTGCTGCTGCTGCTGGTGGTGCTGCAGTTGCTGCTGGTGGTGCTGTTGCTGTTGCTGGTGGTGGCTCAGCTGCTGGTGGTGGCCGTCCGACGACGACGACGACGACGTTTTGTAGTAAACGCTCGGGTCTTCGCGGTACTGTCCGTCGTCGTAGTCGTCCTGCGACCGCGCAGACTGGTCCCTGTGCAGATCGTTGGAGTCGACGCCCAAAACAGGTGGCGGCACGGTGATGTCGGTGCCGACCGGCTCGAAACCGCGAGCCGACGCGCCGTACTCGACCGTCCTCAATTTTCCGGTCTCGTCCACGTAACCGTACTTGCCGTACACCTCGCCGGACGGGTACTTGGTCTCGATCTTGTAAGTTCCGTCGGCGTTCTCGTAACCGTAGCTGTAAGAACCGTCCTCGTTCTGTCGGTTCACCTGTTTCAGGATCGGTACGACCGTGTGGTGTTGTCCCGCCGGCGCGGCCAGGGCTCCGCATGCGCAGAATGCTGCCAGTGCCTGCGAAACACAAAAATCAACACGTGAAATGGGTGCAGTGTGGGTGGTGATAATACTGCAGTGGTTAGGGCGGTTAGAACGGTGGACAGCCCCATAATGTGGGTGCGACTATTATACGTATGGGTATATCTGAGGCGATCGCTAATCGATATTTTTGGAGGGTCACATTAGGCGAATTCGAGAATAGTTTTCATAGTTTAATGTATTCACGTTTATCCGTACATAAAGTAAAGGTTAAATAAAATCAAAACTAAACTAAATTCTCACCGAAAAAAAAATTCTCGTGAGAAAATTGTTCGTTGATTATTATTGTGCAGTATATCGTCGAGACATGTATTATAACTACGATGAGCACCGTCGCGATGCGAGACTCGAGAACTATTTATTACAAAAAATTTAAACCACTTGAAATATGACGGTAACGAGGTAACCGCGGTTGTGCGTGTGCTGCAGGTCCTATTTTCGTGTGTGCAATACGAAATTCGCTATGGGGGTTGTTAGTACGAGTTCGCAATCATAATCAGCGCCGTATTCAGGTAAACAACAGCTCCGGGTGGCTGATTTCAAAGGGGGAGGTGGCTAATTTTTTTATTCCTCCCATATAACTACTCTATTCATTTATTATTTCCTACAATATTAATATTTTATTTTTACATTATATTTGTTGCCATAATTTATGCTTTTATGATTATGTTAGGCATAAAATTCCATAGCTATATTAAACATCAAAAGTGATTTGACATGCACTATAAATTATTATGATTATATAATTAAAGTATATCATGAGTCAAAATCCAGGACAATTTTTTTTTTTTAACATAGAATTTAATTTTTATTATATTGGCTTTGATCATCATCGTTTTTTGTGACGGTATTAACATGATTGTTTTGACCGATTACAAAATATTATCCTACAATTTGGTGAAATTTTATTTTTAAAACATAAATAACATTTTGAAAATTTGAGTAAAGCTTAGGAGTTTTTCATTTGTTGTGATAATAATTTTTTTAATGCAGTTGTGGACTTATATGAGAGTTACTACTTCGGTATTTGATAGACAGATATATTGTTATGTGTGAGATCATTATTGTTTACGAACAAAAAAAGGCGAAGCTCACCACGCTTGCTTTTGTTCTGAACTGAAACATGTGCGTAATACGAAAAACGACGAAAATAATTAATAGACACTGTATGAATGGTGTTTTGGTTTATCAAAATAGGCCTAGGACGATCGAAGTGTAGTCTGTGTATTCACGTCTCCAACGACTGATGTGAAAATATCGCAAAAAAATATAATAAATCGATAGTTGTCGTCTTCGAAAGAATATCATTGATATTTTTTTTTGTTCCCCCCATATAACACTGTGTATCGGTGCATAATAAGTAAACTGCTCGTACCTACTTAAATATTATATCATTTGTAGGGCTTAAATATTTATAATCTACAGAAATTGAATAAAAATACTACCTACGCAAAATAAAAACCGTCGAATATTATTATAGTATTGAAAGTTAAATTGTATCGAATATAACGACCACTTGTTCGTTATAATATTTTATTCATAACATAATATGTATTTATACATAAATATTATATTAACAACGTCTGAGGACCGAGAACAATAAATAGGTACCTCAGAGATTTACTATGAATAATACATAATAATATTAAGAACCACTAAAAATATTCATGTGTAGTATAAGTAACCTTCGGTACGAGGAAAGTTCAAAAGCCTTGACACGAGGTGTGGTAAAAAAAAAAAAAGAAGTGTTCGTTCGATATACATAGGTATTATGTTTTAAATGAGACCAGAATCGAATTGATTTTTTCGTTATTTTTAATAAATCATATTTTTAAAAAGCCATAAATTCGTTCCATTAACCTTAGGTATAATCCGCGGGTACCTGCGATCACAAATATTAATTTATTATATAATAATATACTCACAGTGAATACTCTGAAGTGGTTCATCGTGATCGTGGTCGTGTCTCTATATTTTTGATGTGTGTACGACCAAGTTGAACGTCTTCATCGGCAATGGAACGGAATCGATTCGTGGTTAAATAGCCACCGTACGTTTTCTCCACCCATTGTCCATCGCAATGAAAAAATATGATACGACCTCTACCGATCGAACACCAACTCGTTTTTTATTATTATTTTTTTTTGTTCATGACGTAGCGCGTATATAGGTGCACACACGAGGGAGGTATTTCATTAATCTATACCTATTCGGGTTTACGTATACTCAGCCTTGAGCGAATTAAAAACAAATGTATACCTACACCAGGAATGCGAGTGTTATATAATTAATAATTATATTTGTATCACTATACGCATTACTTGCACTATTTATAATGGAGGAACGCGAGCACAAAGATTCTGTTTCGAATAATATACCTTAGGTATATTCCACTGCAAAACGAATATAAAATAAATAATGGCTATAATATTATAACGCGCCCGATGGAGGAGAGTTGTCGGGTGCACACCGTTTCTAACGCTTCCTTGATATATATATTATATTTTTCCATAATTATTATACTTCAGACAAAGTATTAAATATAATAAATTATAATATAAGTCGCCAACCGTTTCCAAGGCATAAATAAATATTAAAAACGACTTCTTCGAAATCTTTAGGACCGAACACCGTTCGTTTTAAATGAGTTCGCTAATAAAAATATTAATTTGACTTGTATAAATACATTTAAATATGTTTACTCAAAATTGATACATTTAATAACTAAATTGTCGAAAGAAAAAAACGTTGGTACCTAATTCTTTTTTTTTTGCAAATTAAATTAATTTACTTTCGTGAATAAAAAATGCTACAACAAATTCTATAATTACGTCAAGACGGTAATAATTTTCTTGTTATACTTATACTCGATGAATATAAACTCAATTATAGAACATTAAAATATATTTTATTACAAAAAGAATAACTTTAAAACAATAATTGAATTGAATTTTATCACGTAAGCTTTTAAACCGAAATGGTTTTTATTTTCAACTTAAATATTTCACAGAAAACCACTATGTAGATAATATCATACATTAACCATTTCCCTTATCTATTATGTACGTACACTTTCGGTGTACATTAACGATGATTGATGAATTAAGCTATTTCATACTTTTGTTATATTATATCAAATTGTCCACACCTAAATTGTATTCATGACAATAACCAAGGTTATTGTCTAGGGTTTTTTTTTTATGAATATTATTATTTAGCTCCAATTAAAATGTAATGCAAATTTTGTTGAAAATTGTAGCTAAAAATGATTGGATTACAAAACTGATTGAGGTATACAGGAAACGTCTAGTTTTTAGTTATTATCATATTTAAATCATAAATTATTGTACAGTGTAAAATAGTTGTTTTGAAATATTGATATCGATATTATATATTTCGTTACAAGCTGCAGGTGTTGTATTTATCGCATACCATTTATTTTTATCAAATCGTTTCGATATTGTATTTCAGTACCTATAACTTATATAATATTGTGATTTTAAACTTTTTGACTCTCCGGATGGCGCAATATGTCCCGAGCTTAAGGTAACAATAATTTATACGTCATAATATGTGAATTTACACATGTAGGATTCACCCAGCCATATAATACATTTATATCCAAAATGTGTATAAGTATGCTTATATAACTTTCACTTTTTTGACGAAAGAAATGCATTAAAATAATATCGAATGCAAACCACATACGCGATGGACTTACCATGTTATACGTTTAATGAATGATAATCAACCTGAAAGTATTTGTTCGTGTCAGAGAAAAAACATGACAGTATATTATGTATTTATGTTGATTAAAACTACCTATATACGTAATACTAAAAACTAATAAGCAACATAATACATTGCTAGGATACTCTCGTATTTATATTGAACACTCTATTTTCAGCTTTGTTTTCTGTATACTTTTTTGATACAACATTTGTGATTTTAACAAGAACCATGCCCCGAAAAACAATACTAAAACAGCTATTGTATAAATCTTCATTATCAAATCCAGATAATGATATCGAACGGGATTGTTCAAGTAAAAAAAAAACCAACAAAAGAGTACACTACTCGACGTCGGGTTTGAAGGGAGAACCAAACGATTACAAAGAGTTAAGTACTGAAGTGCACAAAAATATTATGTCTGCTGCTACAATATCAGCACGAAATCCTAAAGTAATAACAAAGAAAAAAGAATACAGGAATATCAAAAACAATGGAAATCGTTCTCGACAGGACTTGGAAATAATGAAAATATTTACATCGCCGGAATGGTCGGGAAAATCGTTTAGTGGATCCACTAATTCCATAGTAAACTCGATGGTTAACGACGATAAAATTTTGTTGGTTCATACAGAGGAGGAAAAAGTGTTGAGTAGGACTTATAACGAAGCAGATTCGATGGAATCTCTAGACATCAAACAAGCAAGTACAGACCAAGATGAAGAAATCGATTACGTCGAAGAAAAACAAACCGTTCAGTACCTTCCTAACGAATCGCTTCATAGCTTCCAACAGTTTGCAGAGACAGAAGAGAAAGAATTGGAAAACATTTTGCCGGAAACCATAAATGAAAGCATCGTAGAGAATCTAAACAGTATAAAATCATTCGATCTAGACAGTTATAATAGTAAAACTGAGCACGAATATGATATCAATATGTTTTTTGAAACACCCGAAGACGATATCATAGCTAATGATTTTGAATCGCAGCCATCATATTATAAAACCCCTAATGTCGAAGTGTCCGACAAAGTAATAAACGAAGTAGCTGATAAGAGCTCTGATGTTTCTAATGAAGACGATGAATATGAATGTGAAATCGGCGGCGTCGAGCTTGAATGCTATTCTTATAGGTATAAATGCAATAATATTATTATGTTTAAAATTATAGTATATATAATAATAATAATAATAATATAATATCATACTTATAATAAACCCCTTTCATTTTTTTATTTTATTTTTAATAGGCAATATTTTTTTCTGATTTATATTTGATTTTAAATTAGCTTAGAGGGATGGATAATTCTTAATATTATTTAATTTAATATTAGGTATTAAATTATTTTGGTTGGGGAAAATTGCAATGTCGTGTATGATATCCATTCTTAATAATATGATTTAATTTTACTCGGATACAGAGAATGTTGTGAAGAAGAAGAATGTTGTGAAACTTTGTCGAACTCCGTGGTGTCTACTTCCAACTTGTCGTCCGAAGAAACACTTGACGACGAGGCTTTGATGCGATATTTTAATTTCGACGATTTCACTGACATCCGTAATAAGTTACAGCATTTAAATATTTGTACAGTTCATAAATTTAATATCGTATTTTAGACGGTTCTGAAATTGTTGATCCGACGCCCACGGGGTCATTAAACACTGATGTCATGACTCGAATAATTCGTCAAAACAAATCACGTACGTATTGCACTCTCATATTATTAGTATTAACAAATGTTTATCGCAGTCGTGAATTATCTAGGTAACAACTACATGACTGAAAAGCAAATGACCAACGATGAGTCGGAATTCATAGAAGCCATGGATCTGATTTTCGAAGAGACCAAAGCGTCGCTGGGAACACTTTTGATCGAGGGTTTATACATAGTGTCAAAGAGACACCGCCAGAACTCTTTTAAATACTTAGGTAAATGGTTGTTGATTCAAGCTGACATCAGAGATGAAAACCCAACCGAAGTAGAGTCCTTGTCAAGTTTTTGATAACATGAAACAATTAACATAACAAATTTAAGACCGCGCGAACAAACTTCTACAGTAATATTATACACACACTGTAACGTCAGACTGTCATAATCTTTTAATTAAATATATAAATATAATATGTACCGGTATAATAGCTACAACAATGTTATATACTTGAGCAATCTAAACTTTTTGAAAAACGGTTTACATTTTAGTTTAAAAGCACAGACCGAATCACAAGATTTTAAAACATGTATGTGAATCAAGAATACTATGTTTTAACAAGTATATAGTTTAAATTGGTACTGATAAAGACGTACCTCGCACCTATAAAAAATAAAGTTTTTTTTGTAATGCTTAAAACTATTTGAAGTGTTTTAACATTACTATGGTTTTAACCATTTTAAGTGTTTTAAGCATTACAAAAAAAACTTTATTTTATATAGGTGCGAGGTACGTCTTCATCAGTTCCATTTTAAACTATGTACTTGTTAAAACATAGTACTCTTGATTCACATACATGTTTTAAAATCTTGTGATTCGGTCTGTGCTTTTAAATTAAAATGTAAGCAGTTTTTCAAAAAGTTTAGATTGCTCAAGTATATAACATTGTTGTAGCTATTATACCGGTACATATTCTATTTATATATTTAATTAAAAGATTATGACAGTCTGACGTTACAGTGTGTGTATAATATTATTGTAGAAGTTTGTTCACGCGGTCTTAAAAGTTTTATGTTGATTGTTTCATGTTATCAAAAACTTGACACGGACTCTTCTTCTCTGATGTCAACTTGAATCACCTAACCTAAGTATTTAAAAGAGTTCTGGGAGTTGTTCAATCGGATTCCAAACGTCGTTCAAAACAATAAACGAAGACAATTTATATTATTCAGTGCAAGGATTATATTAAATTTAAAATTTTAATTATAAATACCATAACGTCATGATATTATTATTATATTATGTGTACCTATCTACCTACTATTAATATTTGTTTTTGACGAATATTTGAAACGTAATACAAGAGTAAAATATTTAAAGTTATTGTGCTTATATTTTGTAAAATTCAAAAATATTCATTGTTCTATTAACATTTTCCTATTTCATTCTTGAAATTCCACTCTGTACCTGCAATTTAATCGTATTTGAATAACAGGTGTGAAATAAACATTTATCTGTGAACATCATCATTGGCATGTCAGCAGTTGTAATCAATTCATACAGTGTTGGA